GTTTGAACATCGCTGTCTACGCAGCATTGCACGAATCTGGTNNTGTGTTGCGCATGTCACCAGATAGGTTACCACGGCGAGCGATGTTTGCCGAAGCAGACACCGAGTGGAAAAAAGCCAAGGGTGGTCAAGCTAAGACCTGGCACGAGGGTATGAAAACCCTAACCAAGAGACTGGGTCACATAGGTCCTGTTAGGCTCCCCGGCTGGGGACCTCGGGATGATCGTAACCGATGTTTAGAGACACTAAGTGATGTGGCTGAGCGTCGTAATCAGTGGCGTTCGTGCATCTTGTCGATTTCTTTGACCTTAATCCACTGAACCTCTCCATTTTCTTTTTGAGTGCATCTCCTCAATTTCTTCCCAACCTTAGTCCACGGAACTTCTCCATTTTCCTTTCGACTCCACTTTCAACTTTCCTCTTTTCTCCTATTCTTCATTCAAATGGGCAGCCAAAAGACAGCAACCAAAACCGGCGCACGAATATGCATGTTTAATGGCTGTACAAACTGAACTGAACTCCAACCTTCGAGGTCGACACTTTTCCCTATCACCTCAAACAAACCAGTTTGTTTTCCCTAGTGGCCGCCCATCAGATCACTCGTTTATATACGAAAGACTACACGGGTTTCCTGGGATAAGGGTATAGAATGTAAGGCAAATTAGAGTTCTAAGGAAGTTTACTGAATGAATCCGCATCTGAACAGTCGAGCTAGCACTCTCGGTACGTATTTTATGCCTTCAAATTTTGATGAAAATACCGCAAATGTACAATCTTTACAGTGAATTCCCATCGCCATCGTACAATGAAGCGAACTTCGTCAACCACTGCTAAGCTTACCATGTTCCATGCCTAATGAGGGTATTTAACTGGGTAAGAATACGAACTGGTTCTCTAGCATGTACATAATCTACTGGGTGCTATTCACGTTTATCTAAATCGTACATTGGCCTTTGTTTTTCCTCAGTCAATAATGATACTCTGTCCGCACTTCATTTTTCTCCGAGATAATTGAACATAAACTGAATGCTTTGTATATCTCATCATCTGGCTAACATCTGGTCATTCTTCTATACAGGTTATCTTCTGGGTTTGTAACACGGAGCAAGATTACGAAATGGCCTACGATGTTGGTGCTTTGGGTGTGATGACAGACTATCCAAAACGGCTACTTTCCTTCCTCGATCGGAACCCGATGTTGGCCGTCAACCGATCCAAATATCAGCCCAATGGACTGCACACTACACCGTCCAAACAACGAAAGCAGACCGGAAGGCATGTAAATGACACCATGCTAACGCAATTCGCTGTGTTGCGATCCAAAAGACCCATTTGTCGAACTTCGGCTTCGACCACACTAGCACACACGGGTGGGGATCTGCACATGATGCGTGATTAAGTGATTCCACATTCGTACCCATGCGTTGTTTGTTACTCGATGTACCAGTACTTTACTCGAACCTCTTCCCCCTGTCATCCATCGATCACGCGCACGCGCGTTGTGCTGCATTTCCATTCCATCGACTCAAAGAGTTCAACTATTATGACCGGAGGCTCTTGAAGTTATTAAACCAGTTTCTCCTTTTGGCCACCGGGAGTCATTTATGTCATCAAGTCGGTAATTTTACGTGCGTGCTGCCATTTTTCCATCCCCAAAACTCACATGCTATTTTCACCATTATTACATGGATCTCCTAAATGCACAGTCTTTTTACTTCCCTGGAACATTTTTCTTTCCCCGATTTCATCGACATTTATGTTCGCATTCTGAATTTCACCTGCCTCCCTCTCGCATAACCTTCACTCTGTTTTGCGTGAGTAATTTTAAGTAATGTGACCTGTTCCCCTGGTGGGTGGAGATACAAGAGACGGAGAAGGAAATCTGAGTGGGCGACATTTGAACCCATGAGCCCATACATTAATATAACCCCCGGCGAACGTTTTCTCTGTATCCTGCCCAATTATTTATTGTTGTCAGCTAAATCGGTTGGGTTTTTGAACAGTGGTCAGCTTTGTATTAGTATTATCGATTTTTTTCAAAAGCTTTTCGTATGAAGACCAGCAAGGAGTAGCGGCGGGTTGCTATACTATCTCTGTCACTCATACAAATCAATGGTGGAAATTTCCTTGTATCCTCGTTCACTTTGTATTGCAAGCAAGGGGTCCCCGTAATCAAATGCTACCTTTCCAGTAATTGATTTCTCAATCGCGAAATTGAATATATCGATTGCATCACTCAACAAAATACCAAGATAACCACAAAAGTGAAATCAGAGTTGAATGTAAAGAAAAAGGGCAGTTTTTTAGTCCATACCTTCCAAGTGCCGTACACTATCTGAAGTGATATCTAGGCTTTTTCTATTAAAAACAAGTATCGTGCTGCTGATCTGCGCAAATTTCACACATTCAAACCAGTTTTCTCGTTGTGGATAGAAGGCAATTTACCGGTGGAAATCACCTCATTCAGCATACTACTTCGGTTGTACCACCCGATACTTGGCCAAAGGCTT